AATATTAACAACAGCGTGCTAAATCTATGTGATTGGTTTGGGCTAGGGCATGTCCAGCATAGCTCCTCTGTCCGGGTGATGTCACATAATTTGTGATGTGACAGGTGATGTGACACTTTCAACATGTAGCGAAACCATAGAGCACAGCAGACGGCAAAATGGGAAAATGTACATTTGCATACTCCTCGTTGGAGAAAGACGAGTTTAAACAGTAGCTGAAGCCTGTTGCTGAAAGCAACCGCGTTATTTATTCTTTCAAGCTTTGTTTTTTTCTGAGCTTATCTGAGTTCAGTTGCATAGTTGTGCTCTTTTGATTTATGTAACTGTTTATTAACAACTGTTTATTAAGTTAAAGGTTTTGTACTGATTAGAACGATTATTGGCGATGAGGTCTTAAAATATTCTGAGAAGGTCTTTAAAAAGTCTTAAAGTATTGAAATAACCTTTAGAATTCCTGCATATACCCTGTATTAAAGGGTCGTTCTCATGTTGCTTCTTTTGTGCACAAGTTTGTGAGTGATGTGCATGCGGTGCGCACGCGGCACTCTTTCTATGCGTATCTAGTTGAAAGAATGGCGAAAACACATAGTGAGTCAAGTTCATATTATAGTTGATCAAAAGTGCCTTTCAGACAGAGGTTCAACAACCTTTGACTACATTCTTTTCTCCTTAAAAGGGAAATATTTTGCTAATATGATGCTTAGATTTACATTAGACATACTATTTTCTAATTATTCTTTTTTTTTCTTTATTTATTCATTGTTGTGTCGTTTATTTGTGGTGTAAAATTATAACTTATGTTTAAATGCCAAAAACTTTTTTATTTAAAACCAAAGAGAAATGGTCTATTGTTTGTTTTTTGTTATTATTTTGTGCTGTATTAACTTGTTACTAAGCAGCAATAAATAACACTTTAAAAATATATGGAGTGTTCATGTAATTTTCTAAACTAGTAGTGTTTTGAAATAAATGAATAAATAATAACTGTAAAAGCGTGATTATTCTCCAGACTATAATCATACAACCAAAATCTATATTAGTTGCATCCCTAATGGAAACTCGGCTTATGTCATTAAACACATTTTGTGATTCCTTGATGTTTGATGCCCAAAGAATGCTTTGTCTTTTTTACATAAACTAATAATTACAAGTGTAGTAAAAACCTGGCAGGAAACACGTTTCTTTGACTGGAAGCCGTTGGCTAAAATACCTACTGTCATGTTATGCAAAGGCGGAAAAATCATAGATTGACTGAGGGGGAGCAAATAACATAAAGCAATTCAGTTTTGGGTGACCAATCTTTTTAAGTGTGAAGATTTTAAGACCAAATAAGCATGAGACCTGTCACATTAATCAATATATCAACTTACCCTGCAATACTTAGAGATGACCTCAATCATTTTTGCCATTATATATGTTTACAAATTCACAAATAATGTTAAAACCATTTTGCATTGGCCTTCTACCTCACCGGTGTCAAAGTTTATAACTGGACATTTGCTTAATATGGTATTTAATATTATATACAATAGGAGATTTAAATTTTTAACATCCAGTTATAGAATCTAAATAATGTTAAGAATGATAAGTATTTTAAAGGGTTTATGGCTATTTGCATTGTTATTCTGTTATATAATCTTTATATATTAAGTGGCATGAAATGACCTCAAAATGACAATAATATTGTTTATCACAACTATTTCTGTGACAATATATTGCACAACAGAAAATTCCTTATCATGACAGGCCTAATAAGCATTCCTCCTAGTGCTATACAAATAATCGAAATTCAGCTTCGTTTTCATTGATTATGAAAAAAACATTAATCAAGATAAAACAATTATTGTGTAATATCTTGCTCCCTTTCCAGCAGTCCACATTTGTTCCTCTGCAAAGCTTAGTTTCATGTGGGAATCAGTCCCACAAGCTTTCACTGATGTTTTCACTAACAGAATTTTTCTCTAAAAGGCTTTATTTCATTTTGGTGTTTTTCATTAGGGTCTCCTCTGTTGTCTAGCTTGCTGTTTAGGGGATGTAAGCAAATGCTTTGTTGTTGTGTCACATCAGCATGTCACTATGGCTGGTCAGAGGCACATTGTCATGGAAAGTCCACTCCCCCAGGCCTTTGTACTACTGGAAGCTAGGAAAACTGGGGAAACGTTTCACTCAGCCTCAGTTAATTATACCTGTGTGCGACTCTGGTTGTAGTGTTACCATAGTATTGAAGGACATTGTCAGCTCATTTCACCCTGGAACACTGGCGTTCGTTAAACTCAAGGTGTGTTCACTCTTTTGACCTACAATTAAATGTATAGATTGTTGTTCAGCAGCATTGTATTTATTTGGCCTTTTTTCATGTATTAAAGGGAAAAGACGCTCAAAATCAAAGGTCTATCATCAATTATCAATTGCTGTGTCATTCCAAACCTGTATGACTTCCAATAAAACACGAAAGAAGGTATTTTAGGAAATCTCTCAGTGTTTTGTTTTTCATATGTACAGAAGAAAGAAAGTTATACAGCTTTAAAACTACAGAGTGATTTATATTTGATTATAGACCTTCATCATAAATTATCCTCTTAAAGATATAAGGACGGGTGTTTAAAAAGCCTGTTCAAGATTATATAAATCCCTAGTGTTTTGTACTTTGAGGTCATCCTTTATATGGCACGTTTACAGCCAAACTTTGGAAAACAAGCAGCACAAATGATTAACTATGGTCATTTTAACTTGTTAATGTACAATGACATTTCGGGCCTCAACCAGCTGAATATTGTTGAGTGTACAGTTGTAAATATGTCAGCCTAAGCATTTTTTACAAGAATCGCGTGAGAGAAAACCTATGGTGGTCATAAAAAAACAAACCTGTGAAAGTGTTTTCAGCAGTGAAAGTTTTGGGTTGCATTGTCTGACATGGAGTTATAAGGACAAGTCCCCGAGGTGCTGTTTATCAGTATATCAGCATATCAGTTTCTTCCATCAAGATTTTTTGCACTTGTCTAGACATGGTATAAACATGCTATGCACTTTTTTTGTATCAGTGCCGTTCCTTAATTCAGAAACTCCCAGATAATCCTATAACCATTAATTATGACAGATTTCAAAGCTCTTTTGTTTGCTTTCTGAACTCTGCAGGGTAAAGGTATAACGCACACAAATGAATGATATCAGTGATCTGTCAGTTATTCTCTTCTGTTTTTAAAACTCATGTGATTGTATTATGTGACACACACACACACACACACACACAGTATGTAGCCCTTTTTTTCCAGTTTTCAGCCTCACATGATCATATTTGTGCCATACATGCTCAAGAAATATTTACTTTTTTTAATATTACTGTAGTAATTTGTGCTTTATTTGTGCTGCCTTTTGAACAAATGTATATTCTGATATGCCTTTTATATCATTAAAATGAATACACTTTTCACATGAAGAAGATGAACCCTTCAATTATTTTAGAAGAGTAGAACCTTCCCTGCAGGCACAGCGACATTACGTTATTTTGACGTTGTACCCCAATGTTGTGGGGACTTGGAATTGGATTTAAAAATTTAATTTTTGAAAATCGGGTTGACGTCAATGTCCAATGTCCAACCTAAAATCAACCAAATATCAACGTCTAATCATGTTAGACCTTGACGTTGTGTAGACGTTACCACTATGACATCTATCAGACGTTGGATATAGGTCACTTTCCAACACAACCTAAATCAAGCAAATATCAATGTAATTTGACGTCGTTTTTGGACATCAAAATAACGTTGTTCTTAGACGCAGGTTAAACATTGAATTTTGGTCACCTGACTGACGTCATGATCTAAATCTAAACTAAAATTAACATCTTATGATATTGTGTGCCCTCTGGGTTTCCTTGTTGTTATTATTTTATTTTTCCTTATTTTTGTTTCCTTTTTGCGTATAAGAGTAAACAATGTTTTATTTAATATTATTATTTATTTGTGTTTTATTTTAATGTTAATATAATATATTAATATATATTAAATATAATATATATTTTTATAGAACATAAATATATGTCTGTGTGATGGGTTTTGTTTGTTTGTTGTGTAAAAAAATAAAAATAAAAAGTGAAAAGCTATTTTTATTACATGTTTTATATTTAACATTTACAATAAAATACTTTTAAGGAAAAAAATGATTACAGTTTGGAGTATTTTGCCTAATGTCCGTGATGTGGGTTTTTTCCCCAAGAAAATGGGCTCATTTGATTGCATTTTTGAATATTATTGCTATAATATTTTGGGACAAAAGAAACAAGAAAGAATAAAAATGTAAAAATATAATATTATGTCATTTATTAAAGTCATACAATCACTTTACATAAGAAAAAGACAAGGCTGTTAATGTAAGGTTGAATGTTATAAGCTGTTGATTAAAAAAAAAAAACTAAGATAACACTTTATTTTGATGGTCCATTTGAGTATTAGTAGACTGTCTGCTTAATATCTGTTGATACTGCTCCTTCAACAGACATTTAACTAAAAACGATCTTTGCAAGTATATATCTATTTGCACTAACCCTAACCACAACTTAACAGTCTACTTATAATTGAATAAGAATAAGTTGACATGTCGAAGCAATGTAACGAATGGTTCATCAAAATAAAGTGTGACAGAAACTAACATTTTATTGAAAAGATTTAGCCTAAAATAACTACAGTACTTGTCTTTATATTACTATCTTGATAGTCCCATTTTTTTAATCACTTCGAATCACTTGCAACGAATGGCCAAGATGTTATTAAAACTATTATTTTAGTGTTCCACACAGAATATCAGGGTGTGGTCCGTCAACATGCACATGATCATCCATCAGTGCATTTCATGTGATTGTAAATGATTTGATGATTTGACAGCTTTGTAATCCCTTTTACAATGAAAGAAAAGTGTTTATTTTGTCCAACTGGTTGATTTACAGTGTGATGATGTGTAATAGCTTTTTAATAAACATTTTTAATCCCTCCCTTCTTTTCCAGTTACTTGGCGGACCAGTGCTGGAATGGAGGCTGCATCTACCTGATCATGTTGCGCAGAATCAAACGCAAGGCTCCTCTCCCTCCATGCAATGGCAGCAACGGGGGCAACTTTGTGGATGTTTCTAATGACCACAGGCGAAGCGTCTCCTCTGAAACAGCGGGAAGCCCCACACACAATGGACAGAATGGGAAGCGGACACGGAAATTTGGTGTCATCTCCCGCTCGTCGTTCACTCGCGACAGCAAAGACAGTAAAGATAGCCGAGAATGTGAGCATGAGAATGGCTACAGCTCCATGGAGGCGGAGGTGACGTCCCCAGAGAGCAGCAGCCCTCAGGACACCCCGACAGATGACAGTCCAATCACAGGCCCCTCTGAGCTGATGATGTCTAATCACATGAGGGTGGGCAGCACAGCAACCCTACCCTGCCGATCCCGCTCACGCATGTCAGAAAACTTCAAAACTGAGTCCATCAGCAGCGAACCCTCCGGTCAGGTAAGAAATAAAGCTTTAAGAATATTATAGATTTTTTTTATGCAGGGATAGATCTGGTTATTTGAAAAATCTTAAGTTGCATAATTATTGCGTGAATCTACTAATGATTTGAAAGTTTATTACCATATTTTCTTGAATATAAGCGAAGACTATAATACCGGCAGCTAGCTCTCTGCAACTCTCACATGGTCGCCCACTGAAGCTAAACAGGGCTGCGCTCGCTCAGTACCTGGATGGGAGACCACATGGGAAAGCGAGGTTGCTGCTGGAAGTGGTGTTATTAAGACCAGCAGGGGGTACTCAACCTGCGGTCTGTGTGTGTCCTAATGCCCCAGTACATTGATGGGTACTCTATACTGCAAAGTGATGATGCGTTAACCGAGGTCCTCGTTAAATCCCAGGATGTCCTTTGAAAAAGAGTAGGGGTTTAACCCCGGTGTTCTGGCTAAATTTGCGCACTGACCTCTGTCCGTCATGGCCTCCTAACCATCCCCATATCATCAATGACTTCATCTTTCTGTCTCCTCTCCACCAATCAGCTGCTGTGTGGTGTGCGGTCTGGTGCAATATGGCGGCCGTCGTGTCATCCAGGTGGATGCTGCACTCTGGTGGTGGATGAGGAGATTTTTTCCCAAATGTGTGTAAAGCACTTTGAGTGTCCAGAAAAGCACTATATAAATATTTTATTATTAAACTACACAATACATGTCATGCATAGTTTTAAATGAGGAAAACTATAGACCTTTTTCATGGCTGCTGCATGGAGGGCGCCATAGCGACCATCGTCTTCCGGTAGAATGCTAAAAACGTCCGTTTACAGCGTGTACAACTGGTAATTTGCGCTCCGAAAATGGGTTTCAATAACGTTTTTAATGGATAACAGAGTGTTTTTGTGACACACAACTTATAAATGTGTCTGTTAAAGCCGTTATAATCTGTCACATGTGGTTCAAGCGCGTCAGAAATACGAGAAAAATGTTCTCCTAGTTCACGTGTCTGACGTCAGAAATATAGTGTGCGTTCCCGGCCTGTCAGCTGTTAGCTCAGTGGCTCTTTAACACACACACACACACACACACACACACACACACACACACACACACACACACACACACACACACACACACACACACACACACACACAGAGAGAGAGAGAGAGAGAGAGAGAGAAAGAGAGAGAGAGAGAGAGAGAGAGAGAGAGATAGCAAACCAGGGTACTGGCATGACACTTAACAGGTATGAAAGTCGTGCAATTTACAAAAATGACCAATAAAAGTCTGTTATTGATACTCTGCTGGCTGATTTGCTGTTCATTCTAATCGCGAGCGGTTTGTGTTTTATTTCGTGTGTTGTATTCACCACGGTTTGTGTTTTTCTGTCATTTCGTAATGACACTAGCCTATATTTTCACTTGTCACAGTTATTAAATCAGTGTGTCAGTGGCACAGTACAGGCTACTTGTGTTTGTCAAACATTTTGGTGAATTACATTTGTTTGGGTTGGTTATATATTTGAAATAAAGAGAAAAATGACAAGGCTTCATTTAAACTGCAAAAGATGCCGTCTGACAGCGAGGAAAAAAAGCCTCACAGCAGCTGTTTTCCATCCTAATAGATCGCATTTCTTTAAATGATCAGTCTAGGAGATGGTGCTGATGGACAACAGTGTTAGTTCAAAGAGGATAAAAGCAGGTAAAATAGATTAAAACTATCGTTTCAAAGCTGTCCAAATGTGACTGTTTACACGCATCAGCTGCCGATTGGAAGTTCTTCGCATTCTCCTTGCGCATACACGCAAAGCATAATTGGTAATTTTGCGTTCCAAGAAAAAGGTCTATAACAGTCGAAATGGACACTGTCATGTAGAAGGAAGTCGGGGGATGGGCTTGGTCCAGTCGTGTGTTTCTGCAGCTTCATTTTTATGAACGCTCCAGGGTTGACAAATACAAAATAATCTCAGCAAATTCTTGTCTCAGAGACATAAGAAATATTAAATCTTATGGTAGTTGCATAGCTTGATTGATAAGATGATGTCTGATCGTGTCTTTCAGAAACAGCCATAAAGGAGGCCGTGTTGTGATCTCATTTCATTCAAGCAAGCATTAGCTTGGGCACCATGAAAAAAAACAATCGTCACGATTAAAACATTCATAAAACAAAATCTAAAAGACCTTTTTAAAATTTACTGATGATTCCAAATGTTACATTTTATTGTAAGCTCTGCAAACAGTTTTGTAAAGTTTTCTTCACATGCTGTACTCTTGCACGGCCGAAAGGCATTCTAAAGATGGTCACTGAGGGAAGTGACTTGCCTTAAAGGGACTTTGATACTGTATAAGTCTTATTTAAGTCTTGTATAATAAGATTAAAGTCAAGCTACTGTAAATATGTGCAGTGTATAGTGGAGCAGAATGTGTCAAAGCCACTTTATATGGATGAACAGGAAAAGGATTCAAATTTTAGATAACCATATTTCACTTTGTGGGTCACATTCAACATATCAGGCAAGTTGCAGGGCAGAGTTTTAGTTTGTTCGGAGCTGAATCTGTTAAAGATGAGACAAATCAATGTTGAGGGAAGATCCACCAAAGGGCAGCTTCACTGACACCAACCAAAGCAAGCCAATGGCAACAGTGGTGAGAAACCAAAACTCTACTAAAAGATGGAAATGGAGAACAAACCTCTAGCGGAACAAGGCTCAGCCGGGCAACCAGTTCTCCTCTGAGCAAAGAAAAAAGAGACAGAGCTACACAGTTCATAAGCCACAAGTATCAGTTTTGCTTTAAAACTTTTTATGCATAAATACATGTTGTTTATAGTCAGTGGCACAGTAATTTGGATGTTTTATACATTTATTATTGAGTTTCTGTTGTCATTACTGTTAAAATGATTATAAAGCATAGGTATAAGTGAATTGAATGAGCTAACTTGGCCGTAGTGAAGGAGTGTAAATGAAAGTGTATGGGTGTTTCCCAGTGATAGGTTGCAGCTAAAAGGGCATCCGCTGCATAAAACATATGCTGGATAAGTTGGCAGTTCATTCCGCTGTGATGACCCCTGATTAATAAAGAATATAAGCTGAAAAGAAAATGAATGAATGAATGATTATAAAGCAATTATTTTGTTTAGGGATAGTTTTAGTGATACACAATTAATTGGCAGCCATATCAGCATTGGCTTTTTTTCGGGACTTAAATTTGGATACTTCACAGTTGCTCTATACATCTGTGCATTGCCCATTATATAACATAAATAATTATTTTACAACTTTGCCATAGTTTTTAAAAAGGTCACACTAGTAGTTCACTTAAAACTAATAAATTAAAGGGCCATGAAACCCCCTCGTTTCAGCAGGGTGTTTTCACACCTCTACTTTGGAAAAAGTAAGAAAAGTGGGCGTGTCCAGCTCTTTTTAGGGGGGAGTGTCGGAGGAAGAAAAGTGGGATGTTGTGGGAGTGTCTATTTGGGCACGCGCGAGTTTCAGTAAAAATACACACACACAGTAGAAAGTGATGGTGTTTAACCTACATGGACATCTGTAGTCGAATTATTTGGCAAATTATTAAATGGTGGACTTTAACTGCAGTTTGGCTGTTTCATTCAGGGAGTTCATTCATGCCCCTCGCGACAAACGAGATATTTGATTCGAGGAACTGCTCTAAACGTGTATTTTTCATGCAATGTTTGATACCGCACGGCGAATGAGAGAAGAAAAAAACCTCTGCATTTCCCGGAAACTTAGATGCACACGGCAGGTAGTGTCAGAAAGTGTGTTATTCCGGTCACTAAATGCGGTAAAAACCCTACACGAGGTTAAAGTTTGGTTGTGGTGTTAACATGTTTACACTCGGTGCAATAGTTTGTTAGATACGAACAAACTGAATAAACAAAGAGCACTGGTCGCTCACTTACCAAATCTTTAGAGACAGGACAATCAACAGCAACTACTAGAGCCGCGTCTTTATGAAGATAATACTACAAGCGAATCCGGATCTCAGCGTTTGCAGATGAGAACACCTCTCAGGTAAACAATGTTCCTCCTTAGACACGTAAGTTATTGTTGTCGAGCGTCACATACACTGTTAATCCACAAGTTGTCTGAGCTATAAAAGCAACACTTCACGCTTGTTTTGCCAATACAATGTGGCGTCTCTGCCGTCTAAACACTGTGAAAGTAATGAATATTAATGAAGTTGCACAATAGAGTACGCTGATTGGTTTGAACCAAGCCTTACTCATGCATTAATGCATCACACTGTAAGACGTAATAAGACACACTCTGGTACAGACGCCCAGTCTGCACGCTGGAATAGAACGCTATTATGTCATGACCGTGACGCAGCTTCAAAAATTCGTTTCAAACCGGAAGTACGAATTTGCTTGAAATAACGCAAAAACAACCAATTTACACTTTTTAGTGAAATATAGGTGTCCTAATAGTGTTTTTAGCAGTGTGGGACACATATACGACTGTTAACAGCTCAAAAAATGTGTTTTGGTGTTTCGTGACCCTTTAAACAGTTTAATTTAATGCTCACATTTAAACTGCATAAAAAGGTCTTTAATCTGATTACGGCTTACAATGCCTGCACAAAAATTAGCTAAATAAACAAATAAACAAACAAAAATGAGAAACGCCCTTTAAGTGCACAGATTGAAATGTTCCCTTACTATATGTTGACTTTGCTTTGAGGCTGGATGAGTGGTTGGTTGATGCTCATCTTGTAATTAGAAGTTTGGACCCCACAGTGTGGCTTTACTGCATATGTTTCTGATTTTATTCTCCATCGGGACCGCTAGTGTTGCCTAGAGCATGTAAGTCTTGCAACCTTAATCTGAGTGGCTCACTCAAAATAACCATAAGAGTTCCTCTAGATGTGTCCATGTGTCGGTGGTTGGAAGAACGGCTTGGAGGGATCATCCCAACAAGCTGTATGGGGCTGAATTTGAACAATCACACATGATTTCAAAGACCAACAAGGTGCGGGTTCTGTGAGATTC